TTACCATAATGAGAAATGCACAAACCTGCTCCATTTGCCATCTGAACTTTGTTGTTTCCCAGGTATTCTGTGGGTGCTTGAATGATGCTGAGGTCATTTGACACATGGTTTGATGCTCCTGTGTCAGGGTACCAATTCATTTCAGAGGTCAGATCTTGGACTGAGGCAGTGGAGCTAGGAGCTTGCATCACATTGAGAACAGGATGGTGTTGCTGCCTCATCATGTTTCCTTGACTAGCACTTTGCTGAGTTTGATCATGGTTAGAGCCATAATTATGGTCAAACCTATACCAGCATCTATCAGCTGTGTGACCTCCAACATGGCACACTTGACAAGTTGGTTTGTTTGAGCCATATCTTCCTCCTCTTCCTCTATAGCCACCTCTGCCATTTCTGTTTCCTCTTCCTCGAAAGTTTTGGTTATTACCTCTGAAGTTGGTGAACCTTCCTTGTGGAGATTGTGTCATAGCATTGACAGTGGGTTGAGAGCCTTCATTGTTGAAGGTGAGTCCTTGAGTGGCTTCAAGCCTTGACTCATAGCTGAGAAGTAAGGCCTCCACATCTCCTTTTGCAAAAGCTTCTGGCCTGGAAGTAACATTTACCATTACTGGATTATATTCTGAGCCCAATCCAGCTAGGATAAGAAGGATCTGATCTGAAGAAGACACCACATTTCCAGTAGAAGCTAGAACATCAAAGCATGACTTCATCTTGTTGAGATACTCTCTCATGGAACTCCCTCCTTTCTTTAGGGTTTGAAGTTGCAGCTTGTACTGCATTTGTTTTGCCAAGGATTGGCTTGAGAAGTTGGTTTCGAGGGATTTCCAGATCTCATAAGATGAGTTTAGACCAACTGTGAGGATAAGAATACTCTCTGAAAGAGATGAAAGAAGCCATGAGGCCAAAAGCTGATCTTGCCTTGTCCACCTTAAGAAATCCGGGTTCACAATCTCTTGGTTGCTGTCATTGACAATGAATTTTGAAGGAGCTTCATTTTCTCCTGTGATGTACCCTTCAAGGCCATAGCCTCTGATGGTGGTGAAGACTTGTTGTTTTCAGATGAGATAATTTTTCTCATCAAGTTTGGTTGTAACCAGCTGATTCTGAGGTTGTATTATTTGGATCTGAGGATTCTGGCCATTTGATTCACTTGTTCTGTTGTCAGATTCGAAATCTGAATGCTGTGACATATTGGCTGGAAATATGGATGTGTGTGGCTAAGGAAAAAAGAGGTTATGGCTCAGAGACAGGTCATACCTGCTCTGATACCATGTCAAAATGAGCTAAGAGGAACATTAAACTCAAAAAAAGCAAAAGAGACATTATGCTGCAAAAGGATTTCTTCATTAATTCTCGTGTAACTACAATGGCAGACTCATACATATATATAGCTATCTTCCAACACACTTAGGTTAAAGCAAAATTCCTATTTCTATCTAAAGGGGAAAAAGCCAACTGGTACAATAAGGGTAAAACGGCTCTCCCTCTTCCTCACAGCTGCATGCTTGTCTTCATGCACACGTCATGAGGTGATCCAATGGCTGCCAGCTTTCTCTTTATCTGATTATGATCTAAGGGCTGAGATGATGACACATTACATAAAGTTTGTGAGTCTTCTTTGTTCCTGCCATCATCATCTTGATCAAGGGTCAAGATTGAAGCTGAGGTGTGATGTTGATTTCCAACAGCTAGTAACATACTAACATGGGCATCTACTATCCAATCAAATATCGTTTATATAAATTCAGTTTCTTGTATCATTTTGGACTGAAATTTAAAATGAGAGTTGAGAAATTGATTTCTTGTAGCCCAAACTAGGGCTGCAAACGAGTTGAGCGGCTCACGAGCCGCTCGCGAGCGCTCGAGTCAAAGCTCGACTGGAGCTCTAGTTTGACTGAACTCGAGTCGAGCGGCTCGAGACGAACTCGAGCCCATATTTTGCATTGTCGAGCGACTCAAATTACTAAAATACTCCTTCTATATATATTTAAATAGTATAACACAAATGTTTAATGGTAATTTCACTTAACAAATTTTGAGTCGAACTCGAGCCGAGCTCGAGCATTTGATTGTGAGTCGAGCTCGAGCTCGAGCTCATGCAACTAAAAAAAAAATTCAATCCCGTCGATAAGGTTAATGCTCGATTCGGCTCAGCTCGTTTGCAGCCCTAGTCAAAACTAAAGGAAATAAAATAAAAAAAATTCCATTTTTAAAAGGACATAATTATTCATGTTGTCTTGTCCTCAAAAGTTGGAAATCAATCACAACTGATTCTTTGTGGGAATTCAGAAAAAAGAGTTTTAATCATACACTCAATGATTTCACTGCAATTTCCACTTCATTGACTTATGAGCTTAAATTGGCTATGGGATAAGATGAAATTTTATAAATGCATATGAGAGTTGGTGTCCTTTTGCAGACATAATTTGGAAACTTGTCTTAAAGGGTTTGGTTTAAGTAATGTCACCCACATTTTCCCAACTCATTTGACGTTTCTCTTTTATTTTGGTCCTTAATATGTAGGTTGCGTGTGCACTCAACAAATTAATCATTTATGGTCATAGAAGGATATTTTTCACTATATATATTTCAATGTCAATTATGGAATGTAATATTTGTTATTAATTAGGTAAGAGGGGAAATTTTAATCACACACGCATGCACTATATGAGATTGAATTAAGGTGATACGGGAAATAAATTTTATTCGATTTTGACATGTCATAATAGTTTTTTTTTTTGTTTTTTTCTAATTTAAAATTCAACTTAATTTTAATCTAGTTTAACTTTAATACTTTTATCAATATAAATAAATACTATCAATCAACTAAATAATATCAATCATCCTCACTTATTATATACAACATTAATAATGTTAAAACACACATGTGTGTGGGAACCCCATGTATATATATATATATCGTAATCAGAAGGGCCCCCAAGAAGTAGCCATGGCGGGGACAACACCTTATTTTGCGCATTAACTTGCTGGACAGAATATGGTGCTTTGCTTTTTCCCTAATTCTTCATCTTTCTTTTATAGGACAGAAAATTTCTTCACATTATTAGTATTCGTAATTTTTAGTGGACAAATCATTCAACTAAAATTTTCCCGTCCCAATAATAATTAAATTAATTTGCTAATATAACACACATATAAGAATTCATAATTTCTTATTCTTATATGTTATATCTTTTTGGTAGTATTTTTTTGTTTGGGAAATATTAAGGATTCTTTTACGGGAAAAAAAAAAGAAGACAAGTGGTGGACAAAAAAAGAAAAAGAAAAAAGGGAGTGGACAAGAATCAAAAGCCCGTATTTGCTGAATACGGCTTTTGATTTTTTTATTTGTAAAACGTATTCCGTGAATACGGTTTCCTTTGTAAAAAAAATGTAAAAAACGTATTCCTTAAATACGTTTTTTAATTAAATTACACAGAAAACGTATTTACAAAATACGTGCTTTCTATGTTGGTCCACTCCCCCCTTTTTTTTTTTTTTTTTGTCCACTTATTATTTTTTTATTTTTAAATATATAAACTGCCCAAATATTAAGTATATATATTGAGATCTAGTCGGTCAAAGATATTAATTACTTTCCGCGCTCGACTTTACAAGAGGAGATATAATAAAACAGCTTTTTGTGATTCTTGTACCTTGAACCCCAGCAGCCGGAAAAAGTAAATAAAATAAAAATGAAAAATTGATTTTATGAATAAAAAAATTACCAAAACAACAAGAGAGAAAGGCCCCAAGTCAAAGATTTATAAAAATCTTTGGTTTTATTTGGATTTTTTGATTTGGTTTAGTTAATTTTGAAAAAGAAGGTATGGTTAGTTGTTAGTGGATATATTTAAATAATATTTAAAATAAAATAATTAAAATTGATTTGATCCGATGACGGGCATGGCCAGTGCCGGTGGCGTTATTCGGGATCACTATGGCAATTGGGTGCATGGTCTTGTGTTTATTATTACATAACACAGTCTAATCACAAAAGAGTTAACGACCCATTAGCTTTGGATAAAATACAACATGCATGATGGAATTTCTAGTTTACAAATTCTAATAGCAAAATATAGTAATAACTAATATGTTCGGACAAACCAAGAAATTGGGCGAGGACTTCTGATAAAAATTACATCTATAGAAGTTAATTAATGTCTATTTTTCTCACCTTCTAAAAGATACTAATTAGTTTTTTCAATTTTACTGCAGTGAGCTGATTTTTTTTTTACCACATATACGTTGCATAAGCATCGCCTTGTTGATTGTACTATTTTCGTTTGGTTTTCGACAAGTCCGACCACTTTTGAGTAATAATTACGAATTTTTATAAGTTAATGGGTATTATTTCATTTCGTAAAGTTAGTAACTATTTTTGTCAACCCCAAAATATATATGGATTAGTTTTTTCAATTTTTTTTGTCTTTTTAATATAATATGCCCGTGTGATTCTATATTTAAATACAAAGACAAGGTCACATTCATATACTTAAATTCAGGCATAAGTATACATGTTACCCATTAGGGCGTATATTGTGTATTATATACATTCGGTAAGACTGTTGTTAGATATTTCGTAGTATAAACATGTATTTTAATTCAAAATAATACAACGAATGCACTCGCCTAACCGTTAGACTGACCATCTGCAATAATTTGAGAGATACAATATGCCCTTAATTAATTACCTTCTGTGAAATCAAGACAAATTATATAGAGTATCTGCCAAGTGCCAACCTTCTTCTCATAAATGCATTCTCTCTCACTTCTCAATTGTGTACAAATTCCTATACCCCTACACTAAATACATAAATATAAAGGAAAAGGGAATCTAATGGTTACTTACCAAAAACCCAAAATGTGTCAAGAATTTCAAACCCTCCTTTTCATCCTCCACTTTTAACTTCTCAACCTTCTTCTTCTTCTTCTTCTTCTTTCCTTCTCTTTCACTTCTCCTCCTTCATCCTCTCCCTTCTTTCTCTCTCCTCCGGTTCATGGATATTGATCTCTTCTGGTCTATCGGGGGGTTTTTCGGGTTCTTTCTCTATCCAAACATTTGCATGGCAACCGCTCTCAAACTCGACCCATCTCCAATAATATCCTCGTCCAATAATATTTCAAGAACTCGCCGTTTTCTCAAGTTGTTTGGTCTTCTTTTCATGATCCTCATTGTTTTTGTTAGCTCGTCCGGCGGCCTCTCAAAACCCTCTGATTTGGGCATGGCGGCTTCCCGGAAAACCCTTTTATCGGAGGCTTATGCCGGAAAAAGTAGTGATTCTCATCAAACGGTGGATTTAGGTGGCGGTAAAAGGGAAAACGGTCATATTCCGAAGTCGAAAGGGAAAGATCACAGCTGGTATGAGTCGAGCGATCATGAAGTTCCAAGTGGGCCCAACCCTATTTCGAATAAATGAAATTAAATTATATTATATTATTTTTTCTTGATGTGCTGTGATATATGCTGGTATGTGAGGAGGGTTTTGAAGAAATGTTATTTTGTATTAATGGCAAGTTTGTTACTTTTAATGGTAGGTCGTTATTATCGTCTGTTATGGATCAGCCGCCGTTAATATATATAAGCTTGCTCAAGGTAAGCATTTTTTGTTTTACTCTGTTAAAAAATATCATATGAGTAAATTACTACATATATTTTTGTGTGTGTGTGTTCTTAAGTTGATGAATTGTGATTCGTTTTTGTGTGTGTGTGTGNAACATGAATCCGTGAGTGTTTTGTAGTATAAATGGATTTTTGGTTTAGGGTTTTACCAGTTTGAGGTGAAAAAAGGTAATTAATGTGAATTTAGGGGTTAAAGGAGGGGCATTGTTGTCAGAAATAGGCTTTTTTGTTTTGGCTCCACAATAATTTAAATAGCTTTGGACTTTGCTTTTGTCGTCTCAAACACACAGTACCCAAGAAGAAAAAGAAAAGCTGATAGTCCCAAAGCCTATCATTTCACAATCATCATCAAAGTCATGTATTCCTTAATCATAATGTTTAATAGTATAAAATATTATATTTTTATTAATAAAAGTATATTAATTTATTGAAATAATGTGTTCAAATAATGATGTGATCTGACTTTGTATAATAAAAGTATAGTGTTCAAAGTATATTAATTTATTAATAAAAGTATATTAATTTATTAATAAAACATACGATTGACTTTGTGTTGCAAATAAGTATAGTGCATTCAATATTAGATTCTTGAATGGAAAGTTTTAAATGTAGAGATGGCTTCCGCTTGCTTATTTATGAATGTGAGGTTTCAAACGAACACAAAAAAACATTGAATTTGGTGAAAATATTTGTTCTTCTTACTTTGTCCTTAAAAGGAAAAATATAAAAAAAAAAATAAAAAAAATTGGGGTGCCAATAAGGCTTTTGTTTGGTTGAAAGTTTGTCTCTTGCCATTAATTGGTCGACCTAATTTAATTATCTTCTCGCTTTTTCACCATAAAACTTTTTTGTCACTTGGAACTTGGGCGCTTTCTCAAGTGCTTTATTGCGTCACTCCTGTTTTTTACTTTTTATTTTTTTCCTTTCCTTTTCTATTCACTATTTTGTTTTCTAATTTTTTATTGACCAAATCGTTTTAATGTTTAATTAAATGATAAATATCTTATTGAGTTTTGTAATAGTAACCATACAAATACATAATGTAACTATTAATAAAATTCAATAATCTTTTGAAATTACATGCCTCCATCAGGATATATATTACACAAATACACACTTTCACAATTAGTTGCACTTATTATTGATTTGGAAGCACAAATACACCAATCAAACATTGTACTTACATAATCATGAAAAACATTTTCATCTTAGTATTATACCTGGTATATGCAAAAATAAATCAATACANAAAAAAAAAAAAAGATATTAAAATATTATGATTTTTATTAAATTAATGCTCAAAGTATATAGAAATTATAGTATTCATTACATACAACAACTATCATTAAGATATGGAAAACTCCACATTTATATTTTTTTATTAAAATCTAAAAATTAAGCTAAAATATAGTAATAATTATTAAATAACTTACTGAGTTAATGTAACAATTCCATTAAATGTGATGCATATTATTAAATAAATTTTTATTCTAGTTGTTATTTTTATATAAAAAGTTTATGTTATTCTTTTTTGTAATCTATGCATGAGATGATTACTAGTTCAAACATAAAAATTCGAATTAATCATGTTCAATAAATGCTCGTTTTTGTTTTTTTTATTAATTGAGTCGAACTCAAATAAAAAATTGGGCTCTTTTATTAATCGAACGAACATTAGCACATTCGTAAATGTTCTATAATGCTCGTGAAGATTAAACTAATATTAGCACAATATTTTAGTAAAAATTCTAAAGTATGAAAGAATATGTATATTTTTTTCAAGCTCAAACGGTTTTCAACAAACTGATTTTGAGTTAATTAAACTTTGTCACTCGAACTTTAACTAACTATTAAATGAATAACTGAACACAATCGAACATAAATGCTCAAGCACGGCTCTTTTTTTGTTCATCTATATATATATAATTGCTAGCTAAGCAATAAATTTTACCTAATAAATAAAACCTAATAAATTTTACCTATGTGGCAAATCATTAATAAAACCTAATAAATAGAACCTAATAAATTTTATTTATGTGGCATTAATACACCCAATCTCATTAATAAGAAAATATTTTATTACATTTTTTGGGTTAATTAAGACAAAAACCATTATATTTTATGTTAATTGATTAATAATTATATTTTTTATTGAATAATATAATAGTTAATATTAAAATTAATAATTATATTTTATACTAAATAATATATGAAAGTTACATAAAATTATATTTTACACTAAAATCAATATTTTTTTATATGATGAAGATGTTGTTTATTAATTTTTTTTTTATGTCATAGTAAAATTTCTTAAAATCACATAAGCAATTGTAATAATAATGTAATATTTTTCAGCTAATTAATTGGTCATGATCACTCAAAATTATGAAAAATATATATTTATTGCATTTTATGCAATCAATATAGTGATTTGTATACAATCAAATCGTGTGTACTATTTATTTTAACCAATGATCAAATTTTAAAATATAATACTATTATATAATTTATAATTTTAATATTATATACATAAATATAAGTTATAATACTAAATGTTTGAAATATAATACAATTATATAACTTATAAATTTTATATTATATACATAAATATAACTTATAATATTTAATTTTATTTACATTTGTGCAAATGCACAAGGTCGAATACTAGTTTATCTGAAATTCCAAATGGATTGATACTTGAATTAACCCTCTCATTTAAAAAAGTGTGATTTTTAACTAGTCATCATTTTATTATTTATGTTATATGATTTTTAAATTCCGTATCATCATTTTCAATAGTACCTTGTTCAAGTATAAATATGTGAAAAAAAAGGTATAAATATGAGTGTTAATCTATCTCTAAAAAAACGTGAATACTATCTTTTGAAACTCCCGTGGGAAGTGGGATTCAAACTCCTGCTGGAGGCCCACAATACACCAACGTTGGATTAGTTAACCAAGTCATGTTCGGTTTATCCTATTATTTATTTTCTTTTTGCTATTTTTGTTTTTCAATTATATTTGATTATTTTATTTTGCCTTCAATGGTTGAGAAATTATAAACCTTACAGTTGTCTCTCACTCATTGACAGCAGTTGCAAGATTTTTTAAGTTCTCCAATTCAAATCAGATTTTTTTTGTTTTCTTAAGTTGTCTAGTTAAAACATGGATAATAAGCTCCACATTATGCTCCCCACAACAGATCTTCATTTTGTCCCTTCCTTCTCTTTCCACTTTATTTGGGAAATTTAAGGGAACAAAAATAAGCTGCATCTGCCCTAAACAATACTGCAAATTTTCTGACATTTTTTCCTTTTTTTTTTTAAGGTTTTGTGTGGCAACTTTGATCATTGAACCTGTCTCAATAGTTCTTTCACCCCTTTCATTTTCATCAACTTGTTCTTTCCACATAATTCTTGATCNTGCATTTTGATTGGAATTATAATCCTCCCACGAAAAAAAATTAGAACTTTTTCAAATTTCTTTTGTTCTTGCATTAAAAGATTGATTTACTAAGGGGGGGCAGAATGCCCTTGGGATATTAAGGCTGCAAGAATGGGTTGTTTTTCATGTTTTTCATGCCATGAAAGAAAAGCTTCAAAGAAATGTAAAGACAGAAAACAAGGTGGGCCCATGCTCGCCTCCAATTCGCACAGGGGATCGCCTTCGCAACCTCTCAACCATTCACGACAACAACCTTCTTACCAGTCGACCAATGGTGAGTCGAGGCAAATAATTTAGCACGGCTAAATTTATTCTCCTGTACCAATTTCAGGGAAAAAAAAAACACAGTTATATATTTTGACATTCTACACATTGTCCTTCGTTCGCGATGTCTCAATCTTTTATTTCAGCTTCTATGAGACTTTCCCGGATAAATAACTTGTCGAGTCATATTTTGGTTACAAACATCCACAATTAGCTTTACTTGATGAAGTGATTTCACATTTGAGGAATGACAAGTTTATTTAATTTTACCTCAATGTGCAGAGCACCATAAGAGGCCAATAGCAATTGAACCTTCGCATAGCAAGGGCTCCAACAGCCACGAAACAGCTGCCACCAACATTATCGCTGCACAAACTTTCACTTTTCGAGAGTTAGCAACCGCCACAAAGAATTTCAGGCAAGAATATATGCTCGGTGAAGGAGGATTTGGGCGGGTTTACAAAGGCCGTCTCGGAAAGTCCAACCAGGTACCTTTCAAACTCTTAACACAAAGTCTTATCCAAAAGTAGAAATGAGAAATCAAGATTGGATTTTGGACAGAGGCTAAAAAACTGCTTGTTCTTCACTCTAATCCAAAAGCTAACAATCACTTTCCCCCATAATTTTCAGATGGTGGCTGTTAAGCAACTCGACAGAAACGGACTTCAAGGAAACCGGGAGTTTCTAGTTGAGGTTCTAATGCTGAGCCTTCTACACCACCAAAATCTAGTGAACTTGATCGGGTACTGTGCAGATGGCGAGCAGAGGCTTTTGGTTTACGAATACATGCCTTTGGGAGCTCTAGAAGATCATCTACTCGGTATGATTATGATTCATTAATCCCTTCCCTTTCTTTTCTAATTTCGAAACCATGTCATAAAATATCTAATTTTCCCAACATTCAAATTTCATTCAGACCTTCGACAGGGGCAGCCCCCATTGCCTTGGTTTACAAGGATGAAAATCGCATTACACGCAGCAAAGGGGCTTGAGTACCTGCACGACAAGGCTAACCCGCCTGTTATTTACCGAGACCTCAAGTCATCCAATATTCTGCTTGACAGGGAGTACAATGCCAAGCTGTCAGATTTCGGGCTTGCGAAGCTGGGGCCCGTAGGAGAAATGACACACGTGTCGACCCGCGTGATGGGGACTTACGGGTATTGTGCCCCTGAGTATCAGAAGACGGGCCAGCTGACAGCTAAATCGGATGTCTACAGCTTTGGTGTTGTGCTTTTGGAGCTCATCACGGGCCTTCGGGCCGTAGACACCAGGAGGATGGCCCATCAGCAAAATCTTGTCACATGGGTAACTCACAATTTTTATTTTTTTTACTGCAATATATATACAAAAAATTGCATCAAGGGGAAGCAAAAAAATTCAATCTTTTTTGGAACTGTTGTATCAATTTTAGGTGTTTGTTCTCAATTTTGTTTTTTGGGGGGAATCTGGTCCGATCAGGCCGACCCGATATTCAAGGAGCCGAACAGGTTCTCGGAGCTGATGGACCCGCTCCTGAAGGGGGAATTCCCGAAGAAGAGCTTCAACCAGGTGGTGGCCGTCGCCGCCATGTGCCTACAGGAGGACGCCGCCATCCGCCCCCTCATAAGCGACGTCGTGACGGCGCTGAGCTGCCTCCCGAACGAGCCCGACGCCCGGTATCGCTCCCCAGCCTCCACTGCCGCTCCTCAAGTGACGGCGGCGGACGAGAGCCGAGGCAACGCCGCCTTCGACTCCGCTGCAGCCAGCCTGGCCGCCGTGGAGAGAGAGCGGGCGGTGGCGGAGGCCATGGCCTGGGGTTCCAAGTCCAGGCACAATAGCAGTCATTGATTAGGTTTCGCATTATTTGTTTATTTATCCTGCTGGATTCATTTTAAGTGTCACCACACCTTAGTGTAAATTTGTGATATATATATATGAGGTTTATTTAATTTTACATGGTCCTTAACAATTTTTTTTCAACATACATATGCTTCTTCTCATCAGATTTCTTTTTTTTTTAGTTATCAAAAACTTCGAATACAAAGCATATGTTGTAGTTTTTTTCCTTTTTTTCTTTTTCTTTTTCTTTTTTTTAATATAAGAAATATGAAGCTTTTGCTTTCTAATGACACTTTTGTGGCCGTAGCGTGGGATGAAGCTGTAGCAGCCCAGGAAGGCATTAGGCCCCCTGAAAATTTCAAAATAATTAGGGGTATTTTAGTAAATTTACAAGAATATAAAAAATAGAAAAAAATAAAATACCTGGGTAAAATTANAAAAAAAAAAAAACCCTGAGATTTGAGAAAACGATAAAAAAACCCTTGAGATTCGAGAATTTCATTGTTGATATGCGCTTAGATGAAAACTTTTCGAATGTAGCCAATATTGGAGATCTTGCAAAAAAGATAGTGTCTAGAAGAAAACATAATTTTTTCCCATTGATTTTACTTCTTGATTTTACCGATTGCCACTGCTATAGTGGAAAGAACTTTTAATCATCAAAAGTATACTACATAACCGAATGGGTGATGTGCTTTTGAATGATTGTTTAGTGACATACATCGAGAAAAGATATATTTCGGAACGTTAGCAATGAGGCTATCATGCAACGATTTCAAAACATGAAAAATAGAAGAGAAATGTTGTGACCTCTCAATGTTATCGTAAGGTATTTTTTTAATACTCGGATATATTTCTTATGTTTATTTAGTCGATACTTGTACTGATTTATTTATTTTTCAGTTCATTCTTTTTTGTTATTATTAGTTGGGTTCCCCTCGATAAAATTTCTAGATCCGTCACTACTCGTAGGACATTAAATTAGAGCAATATAGTTTTAGTTACGCAAGAACAAATACAATCTATTACTGTATATAGTGCTTATTCCGTGCAATCGGGCTTGTTTTTTTTTGGCCAAAACGATAGAGATATTATAAAAACAATCAAAATACAAGGCAGCCACCAGCTGAATACAGACAGCCAACAGCTGAATACACGCAGCCAACAGCTGAAAAAGTGGGAGGACGCGTCCAAAGGACCGCCTAGAACCGACCCCACAAGGGTAAAACTCAAGAACACGACTAAAACACTAAAATACTAAAAATAACACAGAGACCCCAACAGGGTAATACCCGAGCATCTGGCCCCAACAGGGAAATCAAATTGACACTCGGGCTCACAGAGGCCAAGGGCCCAAACCAAAAATACAAGACACAGACACAACCAAAGAACCAACAACACAGAATACGGACAAACCACATAGAAAACTCTAGAACAAAACACCTAAAAATCAACAATAAAGCCCTTCCTCGGCAGAAAGATCAAGCCAGACCAGCAGATGAACGGTCAAAATCAGGGAGAGATTCGAAGGCCCGGTACCTGCAACCTACACTGCCTAATGCCTATCTGAAGCAGATGCCAAATCCAGAACCAAACACCAATAACGACCCGTCCCCAGCCAGAGAGAGTCGACATTCCTCAACAGCTAACACCACTAGCCGTTACCAACACCGCACCACCCGCCTAACACCACTAGCCGAGTACCGCAGCGCCGGCTCCCCCGAACCCAACGAAGAACCGGGGAGAGAAAAGAAAGTCGCCCCCCCGCTCAAACAACCCAGCGCGAACGCCACGGGTAGCCTGAGCCTCGCCGCTCTCTCCAATTCACCCGTCCTCCGACAGCTCGGCATCTCCAGGAGGTTGTCCACCGGAACTGCGTCACCTCGCCGGGAGAAGGGGAGTCCGACCACCAAGCCGCCGCCTGAGCGAACTGAGGAGGGAGGACCACCTCATCGGCCACCGAGAGTAGCCGCCGAGGGAGACCGCTGCAATGGCCACCGTCGCGACCGGAGAAGGAGACGACCACCGGAGTTCCAGCCATCCCGAACGGAAAAGCCGCCTGCCGCCAGAGACGCGTAGAATCAGGGATGAGGAGCGAGCCGCCGAGGGCTACCGCCGGTCGAAGCCACGATTTCGCCGAGGAAGGCAGACGCCGGAGCAGCTAGGACGAGCGGCGGATTTGGGGCTTAGGTTTTCTTCTTCGACGAGCAGCGATTTGGGGCTTAGGTTTCTGCTTAAATTATCGTGCAATCGGGCTTGTTACTTAGTTTTTTTTATAAATTTACTTAATCATAGTTATTTATATTTAACATCTCATTATTGCAAGAAAAGAAATACAAAATATAAAAAATTATATATTATTTATTTAAATATAATGAGTATCCTCAACCAAATTAAAACATCTAACACTTGATACATGATAAAATTAATAATATGAATCGTCATGCTTTTTTTATATTTAATAAATATGAAATATTTAAGATACACATTAAAATTTATAATTTGAATATGAATGCCGTTTGAGTTTGTAATTGTGGTTTTTTAAGTGTCATTTTAGATGTATTTATGCATTATATTGTTTTATCCTTATCATAAATCTTAAAAAATCTCATATTTGGTTCCCATTGAAAAAAAAACAAAAGTCATGCAAAAGAAAACGGAAAATTGACATAACGATACTGATAACTTCCACGCAAGAAAGATAGAGTATATATAAAAAAATTAAAATCAATATAAGATATGTAGGAAAATCTTATATAAGGATAATCAGTGCTTTTTTTTTTTTGATATATTAACATTTGGAATTAATATAAATTTAGTATTCTGAAGAGGTGATTAAAAAAACTTAATTATAAAATCTCACTAGTATATTTTTTACATTAATTTGATCTAATTGATAAAGTAAATGATATCTTTAAGATGTAAGTCAATTGATCTGGTTTCCGATCGAAGGCCTTTGCGGTGCTGCGGTAGGGATGGATGGGGTGCGGTTTAGTGGATGGGATCGGGTGTAGCTCTGGCGGCTTGCGGCTTCGGGTTGGAGTGGTTGGGGCTGCGACATCGTGACTGCTCCTTTTCCCCGGTTCTCTGGCATTGGGTTCTGGGGAGCTTGCCGATGGTACTGAGTTCGCTAGTGGTGTTAGTCGGCTCGGTACAACGGCGGCTGGGTGCAATCCTGGTGTTTTCCGGCTTCGAGGCGAGTCGGCTTTGGGTGTGTTTCGATGCTTAGGATTTGGGCTCAGCTAGGCAGTTTCGGCAGTGGAGGGGTCGGCTTTCTCGGGCTGCAGGACTACCTTGGGTCGATTTGGTGACTGCCGGTTCGACATGGAATTGCTGCTGTGGAAGGGCTGTTCGCTTTCAATTTTGTTTGTTTTGGTTGATTCTAGGTGTGTTTGTTCGTTTTCTTTGTTTGTCTGCTAGGTACGTATTTTTGGTTTCGGCCATTAGCCTCTGTGCACTAGAGTAGAAGCCCATATTATCCCGTCGGGTTCAGCTCCTGTCTCTTTTCTCCTGTCGGGAGCTTTTAGTTTTTCTTAGTGTTTGTTGTGTTAGTTATACCGCGAGTATTGTTTTTTGGGTTCTAGCATTTCTAGTATCGGGATTCTAGACGGTCATCAGACCTATCCTCCCAGTTTATTCGACCTTTTGTTGTATTATTCAACTAGGAGTTGTATATCTGCACATTTGTACGTTTGGTTATATAATATTCTCTATCGTTTCGGAAAAAATAAAGTCAATTGATAAAAGGATAACTGAATGAGAAATTTAAACTATAGAATAGTTTTAAATTTGTATGTGATCTCACAATATATATATACATACCAATATTTTGTGTGAATACCTTAAAAGGATACGCACAAAATCACGTTAAAATTGGTATTAGGGTTTTTCAACTGCTTAATATGTTCGTTTAGTCTAACATTTAATTTTTAAAAATAACTTAATATGATTGTTTAGTCCAACATTTAGTTTTGAAAAATAAACTTAATATGTTCGTTTAGTCCAACATTTAACTTTAAAAAATAACTTTAATAATACTTCTTGAGCATCGCATGTGATATGTACGAGTAAGGTGTAACGCCCGCTTATTTATTATAAGAAAAGACTGGATTTTTTTTTCAATGAAAATTTGAACTTTTAGAAAACATTTTCCAACAACTATACTTCAGGCATTACTCAAAAACTCTTTTCTTTCAACATTTCGAAACATAACCAAAACATTACCAAACAACCACAATTTCGAAAATATAAATATTTGTTCACAGCCTAGACAGAATTTAACAATCTGTCGATTAATAAGATTGAGGGCCAAGTAAAGTGCCAGAACCTCAAGTGTTTAGCTTGAAGGCCAGGTAAAGTGGCAGAACCTCGAGTGGTTAACTCGAGGGCTGAGTAAGAAGGAAAAACTTTGAGCAAGTATCTCGAGGGCCTTAGGCCTATGGAATATCATTTCTCAAGTGAAAGTAGACCAAAACGGGCAGTACGGGTGCTACAGAAATTATGTATTTGGCATGAGGCAGGGATCTCGAGCAAGCAGCTCGAGTGCCTAAGTAGTTCTGTGGCCAGGTTGGCCTCGTTCAAGTAAGCTGAGAGGTCGGGAGACCTGAGAAACTCGAATACCCCAAGGGACCTCATGGCTCGCAGGTTGAAAATAGGGAGATTGTGGTTTTGATCTGGTTTTGCCCCGAGCAGTTAGCTCAGATGCCAAAAGTTTTTAAGCAGCAAAGCCCGATAAGTTAGCTCGGGTGCCAAAAGTATTAAAGCGGCAACAACCCGAGCAGTTGGCTCGACTGCCAAAATTTTTGAAATGACAGATTCCCGAGCAGGTAGCTCGGAGTCCCAAAGGGCAAAGGAAGTGAAAAGATGGCTCGAGAGACATAATTATAAGCAAGAGGTAGCAGAACTCCTACGTTGTAGATCATAGGGCCTAGATTAGCTCAAGACCTCTACGCCATAGACTTGGCTAAAGAACAATTGTTCTACTTTTAGACGAGTCTTGCGCTAATTAGCTCGTCTACCAATAGTAGTTGGCTGGATCGACTTGAGCAGTTAGCTCGTGTTAGGCCGGTCCAAGGGAGCTTAAGCCCAGTGTATGTTATTTAAAGATATATTATATTAGTTGAATACCTATAAATATTTAGTAAATATTCCTGAAAGATAT